AATAGATAGGCCTTTTCTCCCTACAGGTTTGAGATTAACTGGGGAAAAGGCTTAATTAGCTCAAATAAGATGGACTGCCTATATTTAATTTCTCTTTGTTCACTAGAATATTACTTCATTATCATTGTTTGCATGATGGCCTTTTGCTTATAGCTCTGGTTTACACTGAGGTTCAATGAATGTAAGACTGCTGTCAAGAAATAGAATGAGAAGATGTTGTTTACGGACTTGTTGATGTTTTCCTCTCGTATTCCGTCTTTCCAACACCTGCAGCTCGACACACTATTGGTATTTAGAGGCTTCTTGAAAGCGATGTGGCCAAGTTATTTTTTTAATCTCTACATTCAGCACATAGGTCATTACTTAATTATCTTATCTATGTGTGCCTCAAACCTTGTCAAATGCCCTTAGTCATGACAACTTACAGGAAGGCCTGAAAGCCCAGGCAGAGCCCACGGTCTGTAAGTCTGCCCAAGGTCTGCCCTGAGAACACTTTACTTATTCCCAACAGTTATTTAACCTCCCTTCCCTTCTTTGCTAAAATTTTAAATAATGATTCCAAATTAGCACAGAGGAAATGGACTTTAAAAAAAAAGTCTTTTATACTAAAAAGAAATGCTAATTTCTGATAGACTTTATTTTCAAGCTGTGTCCAATGTGTTTACTCTTTTTTTAGTTCTTGTCATGATCGTAATAACTGACACTGCTATTTGTGGAAACTACTCTATTTTTAGCCTAAAGTGGATTGGCCAAAACGTCTTTGTCTTTTGGCCTGAGCAGGGGGTAGCTCTCAAACATCCTTAATTTATGGCCAGTCATCTGCTATTATTAGGTGTCCCAAATTAATTCATCTCCTACTCGCGACCAACGCTGAGTAATGAACGTGATTCTACAAGAAAGCTAAGTGTCTCTGATGTTCACGAAGCCGAATTTCTGATTCGGCCGTGGGACATTTCCTCACGGGACAGGGGTGCTGTGGCCTCTCCCTAATCCATTCACTCGACTCCCAGCCTTTCACACAGACTACTGTAGTTCTCAGACCAAAAGGAAAAGTTATCTTATCTGTCCACCTGGAGTCTGAGTAACGTAAGAGCCATGAAATATAACTATCAAAAATTTCATTAGCAAGTTAAGTAAAAATCAGCATTTTTATTCAGCTCTAACATAAGTACCAGATAAACCTATTATTGATTTTGTTGAAGGGAAACTTAGACTGAGGTACTCAAGCTCACTTTTTGTTCATCACAAAACCACCATCAGATAGGACTAGGTGACGGCATTTGGAGGCCCAATTAAATGGAAAATAGAGATGTCCCACTTGGAAATTTCTGAATAGCACTTTTATCAATGTGTGTAACCCCCAGCTGTCCTCTGGTTTCCACAGTCCTCACCTCGTGAGGGTCCTGCATGGCTTCTGTTGACTGTGTCTCTCTTTCTCTGCCTCACCTGAGATACCATTCTCAGACTCTTTGAAGGGGCAGTTAATGTGGGGGAAAAAAACAAGACAAGCTGCAGAACCCTCATACTTGAGTTGAAAATGCTTTGTTTAAAACTCTTTACTGAAAAATAATGCATGGTGCTTGTTAAAACATGAGAATTGTTATTAATGAGTTAGATCTGTATTTTCTCATGTTCCAAGTTTTCTTGCTAATGGTTATCCAAGGGAAGCATTATGGCTGGATAGATCTGTGCTGAGGACATGACTTCAGAGGGAAAGGCATGTCCCCAAATATCTCTTGTTTTCCCTAAAACCTGCTTTAATAAATTTATTTAATCTCTTCTTGATTTTAGTCATACATAAAGGCTATTTATTGGATCCAGGAATTTCATAAGGATACTAGAAGCTGTGTGATAAAAACTTGCCTTTCAGTTATTAAAATTTATTTTTTAAATTTCCAAAGAAAGCATCCTAGCATTTATGTTCTGAGATTCTAATCCAAGTGCAAGTTCACAATATCCACAACCTTTCAAACTTTAAAAAGTTATTCAAACATATTTTCCCTTCAAGTGTCATTTTTACTTAATAAAAGTTAGTTAAAAGATATATTAGAGCATAACAAACTACATATCCTCTAATGTACTTTCTACTTTGGACAAAGTGAGCATCCCTCTTTAAAACTTGAATTATGAGAATTTTACTGTGATCCAATTCAAATAAAGCACTCCTGTGCATATCACTTTTTATAATATCATCTGCTCCAAATATTTGCCACTTTAATATTTTCCATTTCCCATCAACTGAGAATGGGAAGATGATGCACTTTTTGCAGTTTTCTGCATATATCCACTGCTACTTTTAGCAAACAACTATAAATAAATAACTATTAATAACAACTAATAAATAAGTTAGTCTACCATGTAGACTATTTTTTAGGGCTAGAACCCAGCATCATTCTATATTCGGAGTCCCTTGGGCATTTGTTGTTTGCATTGTAAATAGCACTTGATGTTTTATGTGGCACATGTTTATTTCCGTTGAAAGAAAATGTCCTATTTTTGAGGAAGGAAAGAAACTTGTAAGACATCAAATGTTTCTTGCAAAACAATTTGATGAAATAAATGTAAATGAATCAGAAACATGTGAATTGTGTTACAATTAAAATTAATGGGTTTAAATATGAAGGGGGTAAAGTGCTTAGGGGAAAAGTGTGGTAAGGCAGGAAGTGACATTTGTTTTGTTTTCATCAGTCTTGGATTCTTGAAAAATGGCCTAATACTCTCAGTTCAACCTCATTCAGATTCTTCCATGCCTAATGACGGAATTACAAAATGGGAAAATAGTATGCAAATTCATTTTATAGCTTTATCTGGCTCCAATTATAATGTATGCATTAAACATTGCCACTATGAAAGCCTTCAGAAAAATCACTTTCAATTTGAAGTTGGTGATTTTTCCATGTAATTCTTTCAGGGGTAAACAAGAAATTGTAATAGTACTAAAATATATATATATTTTTTTCCTTCAGATGCATACATAAATCTCACGTTTCCTTTTTCTAACTTAAGATGATCAGATCTAAATGGAAAACACATGGGGGCTAAATGTGCACACACATGCCGGAGACAGGCAGACAGAAAGAGTGAGAGAGCAAGAGAGGAGAAGGCGGGGAGGGAGCGTGGCCCCGCAGAGTTGGGCATCCCGCCTCGCTCATCGGTGAGCGCTCGCTCTCCCGCAGTAACTATTTGAGAGTCACGGAAGCCTTACCCCATCGTTTTATAGCCATGCCATTTACATACTTAAAAACAAGTGCATAGATTCTTTTTATAGCTTGTATTTTTCAATTTTAAAAAATCATGTGCTACTCTGAAAATCAGAAGAAAAAAATTACCCACATGAAAGAAAGGCCAACGGGTAAGTCTTCCTGATTCAAAATGAGTTACGTTTAATGTGCGGTGTGACCTTTGTAGTTTCTCAATGCTCCGTCTCTGAAAACGGGAACATTTTAAATGTTTCAAAAACTTCCAAGAGGTAAGGAGCAAACAAATTTTATATACATATTACACACACACACACACACACAACAGTGGCTCAGTGGCCTTCTGCAGGTCCCTCGGCAGAGGACGCGTGAGCAGAGCCCTCCCGAAGGTGCGCGGCCTGGGGCCGTCTCGCTCCCTGGGCCGGGGGTCCCCGGGCTCCGCCGTCCGCCGCTGGGCTCTGCGCTGCCCGTCCCGCGTGTCGCATAGCACCTCGCAAATCCTCCCTCTCCTCTTGCCAGGCAGCGCGTGGTCCCAAACTGCTCCGGACGCGTTTCTCCTCCTTGCTCTTCACAGGCAGGAGTCGTGGGGAGTCACTCTCAACGTGCGTGTTACACAGGCAGGCAGGAGCTGCATCCTGCTTTCTTCCACGGTCCTTTGTTGTTTCATTTAACCTTCTTCTCATCCCCCTTTGGCAGATGAGACGTGGAGTGGCTACGGAGAGTCACCGTAAATCAGCAACAACACGATAGTGGTGACTGTTCCCGAGACCCCAAAGCCACTCGCAGGGCTCTACTAATCAACAGAAAGACTAAGTTCTAACTTTAAAGCTGTGTCAATGAAAATATCGTATTTCCCCAAAAATAAGACCTACCCATAAAACAAGCCCTAGTGGCGGCGTGGCTGCGCGGCGGTCTGCACGACCCGTGCGTGTGGTGGCGGGCGGGAAAGGACACGAGCAGCCCTCTCATCCGCCCCGACAGCTCTGTGGCTCCACAGGAGAGACCGGGGACGGTTCTAAAGGAAATAGAGTCACAAGAAATTCAGGATGGAATTCGGGGTTTGGAGAGTGAGGATGATGTTCCAGAAGAAGACGACTTAACTATGTTTGAATCAATGTAGATGGTTGTGCCGTACTTAAAAAAATAACACATCCCCTGAAAATAAGCCCTAGGGTGTCTTCTTGAGGAAAAAGAAATATAGGACCCCGTCTTGTTTTCGGGGAAACACGGTAGATGCATAGCGTCAATTTTATCTTTGTCACCACCAGCAAGCACCGTAAGCGGCTGTGCGCGGCGGTGCGGGCGTGCGGCGGCTGCGCGCGGTGCGGGCGGTGCGGGCGGTGCGCGGCGTGCGCGGTGCGCGCGGTGCGGTGCGGGCGTGCGGGGCTGTGCGGCGGTGCGGGGCGGTGCGGGGCTGTGCGCGGCGGTGCGCGGCGGGGCTGCGGGGCGGTGCGCGCGGTGCGGGGCGGTGGCGCGGCGGTGCCGGCGGGCGGGGGTGGGGCGGTGCGGGGCTGCCGGCGGGTGCGGGCTGTGCGCGGCGGTGCGGGCGGTGCGGGCTGTGCGGCTGCGGGGCTGCGCGCGGTGCGCGGCGGTGCGGGGCGGTGCGGGCGGTGCGGCGTGCGGCGGTGCGAGGCGGCGGGGCTTGTGCCGGCGGTGCGGGGCGTGCGCGGAGGTGCGGGGCTGTGGCGCGGCGGGTGCGGGGCGGTGCGAGGGCGGTGCGGGGCTGTGCTCAGGACACTCAGGGTGGCCGTGAGGGGCGTGGACGGGTTTAACCCTCTGCTCTCTGTCGTTTGGCTCGCGCAGGCCTACCCTTGCAGCAGCGACAAGGAGTGCGGGCCCGGGAGGTACTGCCACAGCCCGCACCAGGGCGCGGCGGCCTGCGCGCTGTGCCGCCGGAGGAAGAGGCGCTGCCGCCGCGACGGCGCGTGCTGCGCGGGGACGCGCTGCAGCAACGGTAACCACGCCGCCCTCTTCTCCCGCCGCCCGGCGGAGGGGTGCTGTCGTAGGATGAGATTAGCTGGCTGACCTCCCAGACCTTAGTTTCCTGGGCTCTGATCACTTTCTTCCCTTTTGTATTTCAGCGTATTGTCGGGGTGCAAATGTTAAGGTTACATATATTGCCCCCGCCCCCGCCCCCTCGAGTCAGAGCTTCAAGCGTGACCACCCCCCAAACGCTGCACATCTCACTCATCGAGCTTGTACACACCCCTCCCCGCCGCCCCTCCCGCCCGCCGACACCCGGTACATGTTACTCCTGTGTGTCCACTTAGGCGCTGCTCAGTTCATACCAGTTTGCTGGGGAGGGCATGTGGTGCTTGTTTTTCCATTCTTGGGACACTTCACTTAGCAGAATGGGCTCCAGCTCATCTGATCCCTTCCTATCTGTTATGGTCTGCGCGGATCTGGGCTGCTGCCACACTGAGTGTTGTATGTAAATAGCAAGATGTTCTGCCCCAGCCACACCTGCGTGAGCACATGCAAAAGAACCAAAGAAAGGAAGCTGACGTGAGCTAGTGGCGCAGGTGTGGTCTCTCTTCCAGTTCTGCCCCAGTTTCGTACCAAGACGTTCTGTGGCTCACTCTTATGGTGATGGAGTGATTGGTTCCTCTGAGTAGAGACACGCGATTCTACCCCCCAGCCTGGATTCACCCAATCTCAAAGAATTTATAGGCAGACAATTCAACATTAACGATGAAACGGAGAATCACAGACAACACGTGATTTAAAAAATTAAATAATTGCAGAAGGTAATCAGAAATATATACGTAGTCATACAAAACAATGTAATTAGGCTTATATTCCCACACCGTTCCTGACCTCTGGGCATAGGTCTCCTATGAGTACCTTGGACGTGAGGTGAGGAAAGGAAAGCCCACAGCATTAGAGAAGCTGCAGTGTAGACTCGGAGCATATTGTTAACTGAGAGAGGAACCTGGAACCAGAAGATGTATGTCTGGTCCTATGATTTAAAAAGACTAATAGCTAGCATGCATGTAATTCTTTACCACGTCATTATTCTCAGCATTTCACATGCATGTGCGATAACTCAGTGAAATCAATGCTATTTTTAGTCCTTTTCTTTCCCAAGGTCATTTGATCTCGAGAGAGGCAAGATTCAAATCAAGGAAGCCTGGCTGTAGGGCCAGAGTTTGTCATACTCTCTCTCAGTCAATAAGTGAATGAATGAGCGATGGACAGGTAGACAGCTAGGTAGGCAGATATGCAGGTAGATGGGGAAATGGCCCCCTACTTCACATCAGGACGAGACCTGGGCAGGTTTGCGCTTGGTGGAATCGTTAGTCTAACTGCTGGCATGACCGTCTGCAGGCCTCTGCATCCCAGTCACCGAGAGCATCCTCACCGCCTACATCCCAGTGCTGGCCGGCACCCGGCACAGGGACCGCAACCACGGCGCCCACATCCCAGCGCTGGCCGGCACCCGGCACAGGGACCGCAACCACGGCCACTACTCAAACTACGACTTGGGATGGCAGAACCTGGGAAGACCACATGCAAAGATGTCACACATAAAAGGTGGGGCTACCTGTAGTTCTGTTTATTATTTCTTGTTTTATAAAGAGGTGAAAGAAAAATACAGATAATTAATTCTATTCGTTTTGGAAAAAATTACAAGGAAAGTAGCTTAAGGGCAAAATTTTAACTGAATTTATTAATTCTCAATTTTGAGGATGCCAGAAATTTCGTGGAGATCTTAAATTGTCATATATATATTGTGAGAATTGCAGGACGTAGATAAATCATGCCATTTTCTAAACAGGCTTTCCTTTTTACATGGAATTTAGAAGAAATATCCCATACAGATATTTCTGTCACATACATGCCAAATGATAATATCTTCTAAAATATAAATGAGAAAATGGTTATTGACACATGATTAAATCCTTAAGTTTTGGGGTCATTTTCTCACCTTTTCTGATTGAGAAACTTTATTTCACTAAACAGCCAGATGACACTGTTCATAAACCTACCAAAAATATTTAGTTTATTGTGGCATTGTGTATGGCCATCCAATCTCCTTCCTTGTGTCAAAATATTTGAGAAACCTAATCACTAATAGTAAAATTTGAAAGCATGAAATTATTGAAACCCAATATTCCCTAAAGTCCTACATTCCCTCCCCATGTCTCCTGTTTCTCTTCCACCAAACTCACGTGCATCCATGACTATGCCAGTCCCCTTCCTTGTTCCGACAGACACTATGTTACAGCGTAGCTCCAAATCTACTAATAATGTTTATCTACTTATATTTACAATTTTCTGATGGCAAACGGAAGAAATCTTATTTTGGATGGCTAGTGAGTTGTGTGCAAATCACACAGTGGGATTAGGTACATCTGGGCTGACAGATACCCTTTATTCCAGATGTTGGTGCACTGTTGCCTGTGAGCCAGTCTCTTCTGCCACCTGGTTTCTGTTGAGCAGTGTTGAATGGGAACACAGACTTGTCCACTCATTTAGGCATTGTCTACGGCTGTTTTTCAGTAAAGCACCAGAACTGAGGATTGTGGCAGAGATCACAGGGCCTCAAACCCTGACGTTGTACAGCCCAGTGCTTTCTAGAGCAGTCTGCCCATGTTTGCTTGTGTGGATTACATGTCAACCTGCCACAGTGGGGGGGGGAGCTATTTGCTGACTTCATCTTTCTTGGAATAAGACACCCAGATTTGTGCTCCCACATATTTTTATGATGAGTTCTTGGTAGCCCCTCAGGCTGTTTGCTCTCGGATGGGTTGATGGCCAGTTCTGTTCGGCTCTTTCTCCCAGCTCTCTATCGACCAACTGTCCTAGGCTGCCGGTCAGCTGCAGCTGGCCGGGCTTGGCCATGGGCGAGAGTAAGTGGCAGAGGAAGGAAAAGCCAACATACTCCTGTGCTGCCACCACTGTAGGTGATGTTCCTGGCAAAGCTGTCTCCCTGCGGCTTTAGCGCCTGCCTTATGAGCCTGCTGGGGCTCCAGGCTAGTGACCCCAGCCCCAATTCCGACATCTGCTCCTTTGGGTCCTCCACCCTAGTGTGGAAGTGGCATTTTGTGGCTGCTAACCTCCACATTGCCTCACCTTCCTTTAATAATCTTACCTCTACTGCCCCCCGTGTGAACAACTCTCTGCATTAAACATCTTCTGTTTGAACATTTAAAGTTTCTGTTATCCTGGCCAGACTCTTACTGATACATGGTCTTAGGAATACCAGACAATTTCAGCCTTCTCCTTGAATAAGAGGTTTGTTTAGACCTTCCAAGAAGGTATCAAATTAATTAATTTGAAAAAAATCCTTTTACTTTTGTTTGCACTCTCCTAGTAGGAAAACAATAACAATCAGAGAAATATCTGAAAAGCAGATGATGACAAAGTAAAGAAAAGATGAAGCAAAGTCCTGGCTATTTATTAAATTTCACATTCAGATGGCAAATAATGGAAACAGACAATAGTGGATTGACATGATTAGAGAGAGAACCAATTGCTATGAATTTAAGACTTTTCATTAAAAATGGTGACATCATAGAAGATAGTATAAGTAAAAATATTTTATGTGCTTCTGATTATGAAGTAGAATTTGTTTCCTAGGGTGCCATGGTAATAATACCTTTTGGTCTTCATCCTGCAGGGCATGAGGGAGACCCCTGCCTGCGATCGTCGGACTGCATTGAAGGGCTTTGTTGTGCTCGCCACTTCTGGACCAAAATCTGCAAGCCGGTGCTGCACCAGGGAGAGGTCTGCACCAAGCAGCGCAAGAAAGGCTCCCACGGGCTGGAAATTTTCCAGCGCTGTGACTGTGCCAAGGGCCTGTCTTGCAAAGTGTGGAAAGACGCGACCTATTCCTCCAAAGCCAGACTCCATGTGTGTCAGAAAGTTTGATCACCACCAAGGAAAATCATCACTAGCAGACTGTGAATTTGTGTATTTAATGCATTATAGCATGGTGGAAAATAACATGTGGAATGCAAAAGAATGGCCAAAATAAGAAATGTGATAAGAATGTAGATCACAGCAAGAGAAAGAAAAAGAGAACTGACTAGATTAGAATGGGTGACAAAGGCAACACAGCCAGTGTGTTTCCATTATGCAACTTTTTAAATGTAAATAATGTACACATTTGCGAAAACGCCATGATTTAAAAACAAAGCACACAATAGAAATTATGGAAAAATAAATACCATGTGACTATCAAGAGTTTAGGTTGGGCTAGAGGAAAGGTTTCCTTCAGATTGGAGATTGCCTACAAAAATAACCTAAAAGCCATGTTTCTATTCAAAGTTATAGTTTAACAAAATACTTCCAGTATACTTGAACATACAATAGGCTCTAAAATGAAAAAAGTTGTTAAACAGGAAATAAAAACATGGAGCATAATTTGCAACACAGAATAACCTTTTAATTTGGAGCACTAATTCTGCTGCTTAATTAAAGGCCTTGGTAAATGAAAAGAAGTAGTCAGAAGTTAATATTTTCCAAATAATTTCAAAATCATGGCAGGTGTTTTATCAAGAACTTCTAGGGGGAAAAAACTTATTTTTCCACAAACTGCTACTGACATTTTTCAAAAGTTTAATTTTGCCTGTAATTAGTTAGAACTGGTATAAGACAAAAACAGTCCCTTCAGAGTCTAAATGCATGACAGCGCATGTGTCTTTATCCTATGTGATTCCTGCCCTGAATACTTTTTATTTTCCAAAATATATCCATCAATTGAGACTAGCACAATACTCGCATGGCACAGAATTTTCACAGATTGCTAAAAATTTAAAGATGCTCAATATATGTTGGAAACAAGCTAATGGAGAGATCGTTGGTTTTTTTATAGCTTTGCCATGGCCTATGTTTTCACAGATTAGACTGATAAAGACATTTTATGTTTTATATGCTCAGCAGTAACAGAGACTCGAGCCATACCTGCACTGCACTGAAGCGCAGCGCTAACCTGGGGGAAACGCTGTCCATTCCCCAGGTTTTGGCAACACATAGGTCATGTGTCTGGAGCACAAGCTGACTTTTCATCTTTGAAACTGGAGGCTGCACAGCATAAATGAAATATCTCCATGGGATTTGCTTTCATAATATTTACTACACAGATGAATCCAGCCTGAGGTCCTTTGCCCTTACTTTCCTCAAAATATTTATTTTATATTTTTGAGGTCCTAAAATAATCTTCCTCTAAGGAGTTCTCACGCAATGGACTCCCCAGGTAGACAGTGTAGGGAGGCTCCATTGCCTTCCAGAAGCTTCTGATGAACCAACAGCACCATCTGTTTGTTTGGTTTTATTGTCCCAAACTCTCCCTGCAATAGCTGTTTCATTGCCAAAGATATAGTTTCTGTTCCTGCAGCCATTGAGGTTACGAAATATAAATAGAATAACTTGTAAAATCTACATATTGCTAATCTTTAGAAACCAAAGTTTCTAAATTCTTTGAAACAACTTTACTACTTTTTTACTTAACTCAGTTCTAAATATTGTGTCTAGAGCATAAAAGAAAACAAGGTTATCTTATAGTTGTTACTTTAAACTTTTACAGACCCCAAGTCACTCCTTAATTTTCTTTTATTGAAACTCCATCTGCAGTCTCCAATTTAAGTTCTCCTAGTAGAAACTGAATTTGAGCCTGTATCTCTATTAAGAATTTTAGCTTCCCACACACATTTACTAGGATGATTAAGATTTATGTTTTCTGCACGTCTGCAAAAACAAAAATTATAAGCTAAATTATCCAAGAACTAAAGTTTGTACAAGCAGATTGCTGTAAGCTTGGTGACATGAGAATGGAACATTTCCGTCAAATGTTTCCTATATAGCAATTACATTCACAATCTGGTTTCTGCATTATTTCCTTATGTTCACCCTTTCAAAAATTATTATTCGAAGTAATTTATTTACAGGAAATGTTAATGAGATGTATTTTCTTATAGAGATATTTCTTACAGAAAGCTTTGTAGCAGAATATATTTGTAGCTATTGACTTTGTAATTTAGGGAAAATGTATAATAAGATAAAATATATTAAATTTTTTCCTTCCAAAATTTGAATTCAAAGTTCTTTGTATTTTGCTATGGGAAAAACTTTCATAGAATCATAAATTTTCAGAGTTCAGCTGGACTTGTTCTCAGTTCACAGACTGAGTGGGAGTCCTTTAGGCAACATCACCATGAGATGATTCAAAAAGGTTTACTACTGCGAAGGTAGCTTATTTCATGGCAAGATAGCTACAATTGCTAGAAAGTTATTTTTTAATTAAACCAAAGTATTCTAGCTTGTGATTTCCACCCATTTATTCTTACTTTGCCTTCTGGAACATCATAGAACAAGGGCTCTCCACAAACCTCATCACAATACTTGAAGACAGGTAGTGTATTCCCCATAATCTTCTTCTCTCTAGGCTGAAAAGAACCGATCTTAAGGTATTGGTTCATTTCCATACAACATAAAGAAGCTACGAGATGCCTTTGTCTGTGTTTGGAGATGAATGGAGTTACTTGGTCCTGACCAAACTCAAAACCACTTCCTGGGAAATGGGTCTCTCCTCTGTTTCCTGAACCCAGAGATTCCAGGAATGTTTGACAAACAGAGCTTATCAATTACGAGACTAAGGATGGCTGTAAGAGCCCAGGCTGTATTGAGAGGTTAATGGGCTGGGAATGTAGAAAATAAACATTCTGTGACACGGTGGGACGGATAAAGTGTAGCTATGGCAGCTTAATGAAGCGAAAACAGCCCCATAGCTAGAGATCAGAGCTGAGACTACCTCAGGCACTGATGAGATAATTTCTATATCATTTTAATCACTCACTAAGGGCATATTAAATAGATATCCACTACCTCAAATAGTGAACATTTATTAATATATTTTCTCGTTAAAGTGTTCTATAACAGGCATGTGGGTAAAATCAAAGTTCAAAATCCTCAAGTTAACGGCTGCAGTTTTCCTTCCTTATTTCCGTATCCCGCTCTGTCTCAGACAAGGGCTCCTCACGCCGGGGCGAGCCGGAACTCCCGCAGCGGCGAGGGCCGGCCGCCTCTCGCCAGAATGAGTGTTGGCTCAGTAGGACCTCAGAAGTTTATTGGTTTGACAATTTCTGATATAGCTCACTTTTAATACAGTCCAATGAATTATTAGGACACACAAGATTAAGCCAAAGATGCCATCCCATTTAGAAAACAAGCCGATTTCTATTTCTTAGAGAAGATATCTTAGGCAAAGGGCTGTCAATTCATGTAGGACTTAGGGGTGTCCTAAGCCATACTAGAGATGCATGAAATATAAGTGGAGAAAGATGGAGAAAATCTTTGCTTTTGCTTTGCTTTGCTAGAAACGCCCTCCAATCCTAACCAAGTGTCTGGAACCCATGGCCTGTGAGCTGAAACTTATTGGGAAACATGTTCCATCAAAAGTCAGGCTTGGCGCTGTGTTTCACCATCGGCGGGGAGGGAGGAGGCTCCTCCTTTTAGAGGGCGAGTGGCATTTGAGGCACCGCTGCCTTCATAGAGCATCGACCGAGCTTAGAAACTTGCCTTGCTCTTAGCCATGGGCTTCTTCCTTGTGCATCTAGCACATTCGAAGCATCGCCTGTGTTTACCTGAGAACAGGCTCGTCCAGTGATTGGCAGCCGCAGCATCCTGCCAGCTGCTCTTCCTCGTGGCTGTGCCACAGTGGCAGCTTCCGCCGCTTCACACTGCACAATCATTTGCTCCTTCATCTCTGTATTTTCTTCTAGTTGCAGGAGCACATCAACAGAGTCCTGAACTAAAATCACTATTGATACTTCTGAAAGTTATGTCATGAAAGCCTACACACTCCTAGGCACTCCCGACTTAGATTCCCTCACTCAACACAGTCGCCAAGCACCCACTGTGTACTGGGCAACTTCGTAGACACAGCAGGTGGAAGTAGAGAACCAAACCAATTAAGTCCACTCTCTCTGTTTGACTTTCCAGTTATGATTTAGGGCAAGGACTGGACAGCAGAGAACTAAACAGCAAATTTATCAATCCTGTAGGAGACAGAGATGAACACCAGGAAGAAAATTAAGGCAGAGTAAAGGGACAGAGGGAGATGAATAGTTTTGTTTCAGATTCTTAGGGAAGATCTCCTAGAGAAGTAAAATAAGAGCAGAAGCCTGGTTGGAGTGAACGGGCAGCAATTGAAAGGTCTGGGGAAGCCGACACGGGCAGTGGCGGGCAAGGCGAGCTCCTGCCAGTGGGCTGAGGCTGGGCACTGGGTCGGGCGGGAGAGAGGCTCGGGCTGCAGCGGGAACCGCGCCAGGCGGTGCAGAACCTTGCTGGCAATCATTAGCTTTGTCTGCAGAGACAGGACGCTGGGGGAAGCTTTCGAGCAGGGGTAAGATGAGCTGACCTCTGTTTCCAGCGGGTCTCCCGGCTGCTGCGTGGAGAACAGACTGCAGGGAGCCTGCTGGCGGCCCGGGTTGGGGACAGGAGGCAGAGGTCAGGGGAAGTTGTTGGATTTGGGGTCCGCTGGCTGTACAGTGAATGGATTTGCTGTTGGGCTGAATGAAGACTAGGAAAGAAAGGGGTCTCTTTAGACTAGCATGAGAATCAGGAACACTGGAAGAGACATGGTTGGTAAGAAAAGTTAAAATGTATCTTTTTCCTGTACCGTGCCCTTCTGTGACATTTCACATATAAAGAAAGGATTGCCTTCAGCGGAATGCCAACAGTTCTTCCGAAAGTTGGAGGAATTGCATCAACAAAAAGAGAGAGCTTGGAAAGATTAAGGGGTGGCAGGAAAACATGGAAAAGAGAACAAACAGGGCCAGAGCACAAAGCTGAGCAGGTTCACGCGAGAGTCTGAGACAGAGAGAGGCGTCCAGCGGAATGCTGGAAATCCTGAAAAGTGCTAATAGGAAGCTTCAATTTGATACAGATGTCAAGGAGTGACAAGGAGAACTTACAGGAAAAATTCTCTGTTGACTCACAGCAGTGCATTTAGAAAACTGTTTTAGCAAAGGGCATAGCTCCGGCAACACTCCCATTGACTCGGGCCAATTAATTGCATTAAAGGGCCGTTTGTCAAAGTCATAGTTCTCTTTGAGTATTAAGTAATTGCATACTGTCGGGCCTGGGAATTCTAAAGAAATAACAATATGCAAGTAATTGAAGTCTTTTCATGAGAAATACACTTGCCGCCCTCCCTCTCACACATACGTCATGGATACCACAGTGCACAGCCTTTTACAATTTCCTGGGGGTCAGCGTTTCTTATAGATGCCACGGACTTGTTTTATTTGCTCCACACCTTCCCGCCCCGCGGCACCTGCCGCGCCACTCGGCGTCGGGGTTTACTGGCCAGCGGTCTCCAGGGCCTCGTGGCGGGTGGAGAGCGCCAGGTCCGCCAGCACGTGTGAAGCGGTCTGAGTCCTGCTTAAGCTTTCGGACAGACCTTGAAATGGAGATCGCTTTATCTTCCATTTCTTTTCCTACCTTGCCAATCGTTCCTCCCAGCTGCGTTCCTGCCTGCTTCATCGATTCTGTGCCCAGTGTCACGCCACGCTTAAATCCCGTCGAGACAGAGGACAGAGCGGCGTCTCCAGCAGTCTCGCAGTGCCGCCCAGCGTCCATGTCTCACAGCCGTCCAAGATCCAGGCCCAGTGGTGCTGCCTTTTATAATGCCTGCGAGGAGCACACGGCACACCCTGCTGTACGTGTTTCGAGGGGCCTGGAATTCTCTATGGGGAGCAGATTGTCTCAGTACACTATGGGCTTCAGTTTGAGACTATTAAAAGCCAGCGTTCCCCATGCAGAACCATGGCCATGCTCTGCAAAACTTTTCTTAAACTAAGAGGTCAAGACAACATGAAAGTTGTCAGGATTCACTTCTTCTATGAGTTTGAAGTTGCTTAAAACCCTGTTTTAAGATTACAGAAGGAAACGGATGTCTATTATTTAATGGGGGAAAGTAGCCCCGAGAGAGGGCTGATCGGTGCCGAGAGTAGGGTGGAAGAAGAGATCGTCCATCTGAAAGAAAGGCGCCATCAGGGACGATTCCAGAGCATGTTCAGGGAACAGGGAATATGTGGATTTCCTTTTAGAGAGACATGTTTTAGCAGCCTCGAAATAGGACAAATCAAGGAAGCCCTTGGAAGGATGGGCTGCGTGAAAGCTGGCTGCCGCGGTGGAGGCTTCTAGAAAAGTCAGTGAGTCAGGGCCATCCAAACAGCGTTGTGCACGCCCAACACCCTTCTCTTGTCCTTCAGCTGCAGTGCTTAGAATCCACCTCCGATCCCGTGGTCAGTTGGCAAGAAAGATCGTTCATAGGGACCCTCCCATGGGGTGCAGACATGGCAGTATGGTAATGACCTGACGTTTACACAACACTTTTCACTTTGCCCAGAATGCCACGATGTGTGTTGCTACAGTAGATTCTTTGCCGTGAGCTTGCAATGCCCCTCTCTCTCGGCTGCTGCTGCGGAGCCCGCGCCCGCTTCGTGGGGTCTCTGCTTCGGCTCACGTTCTTCGCGGCAACCTCTCCACCGTTCCGGCGGACGAGCCAGGCTTTGAGGCCGGGGCTGTGTGAGGCCAGAATTTTCACTCTTAACCACCAGCTTTTGCTGCCTTCATCAGAAGGACCAGCCAGCCCCTTTCCGATGCGGGCACCTTCTGTGGCCTGCCTGCCGTCGGGGGCTCACGAGTGCCCGGCTGATGCTGGAGGCTCTCTTCGGTAACCATGTCCTCTCGCTCAGCTTTGCTCATTACGTCCGAAAGCAGTCTCCTAACTTTCTCTAAAACCGCAGGAGTCAGTGCTAAAATTAGGATGAACAATCAGTATATCACTATCTCCCCCAGTAGATAACTCCTTGCTGTTGGTTTCTTTTCAGAGGACAAACTATCAGTTAGTATTTCGGACATTAACAAGAACAGCTTAAGGGTATATAACATTCTGTAGGTTATAATGCATACAAATAAATGTCATTTGATATGTGGACAATTATTAAAAGGTAATTTAAAAGTTCAAAATTTCACAAAAAGAAAGAAAACAGGAATGGG